TGGGAACCCAAAGGAATCACAAGGAACGCAGAGGAACCAAAAGGACCCCGAAGGAATCCCCAGCAGGGCGCCCCCCGCGGGGGCCGCAGGCCCCCGCAGGAGGCCGTATTTCATTTGTTCACAGTTCATATGTTTATATATAGACAGACAGACAGACAGACAGACAGACAGACAGACAGACAGACAGACAGACAGACAGACAGACAGACAGACAGACAGACAGACATACATACATACATACCAAAAAAAAAACGTCAAGCGTCTTGAATCCCCTCCCGCCCCCCCTGCCGGACCTTGGGAACCTTGAGGAACCCTGTTGACGTTGGGGCAATTCTGAGGAACCTGCAGGAGCACACAGGATCCCAAAGGAACCCGACGGCATTCAAGTGAACCTTGCTGCTGACCCCCGAGGAAGCGAAAGGAACCTGGAGGGGTCCCGATGAATCCAGAGGAGTCCACAGGAATCCTGAAGAGATTTGAGGACCCCTGAGAAATAATGAGAACCCTGACGACTCCTGAAACCTCCTGAGCCCGAGGCCCTGAGTCCTAAGACCTGGGCCCTGGGCCCTGAGCCTGGTCTCTGAGCTCTGAAGCCACGGCCCTGAGCCGTGTGTCCTCAGCCTTCAGCCCTGAGGCCTGTGTCCTCAGGCCCTCAGGCCGGTGTCCTGGGCCCTGAGGCCTGTGTCCTCAGGCCTGGGCCACGAGCCCTGAGCCTTGAGCCCTGGGCTTTGAGCCTTCAGTCCTGGGCCCTGAGCCCCGAGCCCCTGACCCCAAGGCCCTGGGCCCTGAGCCCTGAGCCCTGGGCCCCGACCCTTGGGAATCCAAAGGAATCCCAAGGAACGCAGAGGAACCAAAAGGACCCCGAAGGAATCCCCAGCAGGGCGCCCCCCGCGGGGGCCGCAGGCCCCCGCAGGAGGCCGTATTTCATTTGTTTATAGTTTATATGCTTATATAGAGATATATATATATATATATATACATAGAGAGAGAGATACACCAAAAAACAACGTCAAGCGTCTTGAATCCCCTCCCGCCTCCCCTGCCGGACCTTGGGAACCCTGAGGAACCCTGTTGACGTTGGGGCAATTCTGAGGAACCTGCAGGAGCACACAGGATCCCAAAGGAACCCGTCGGCATTCAAGTGAACCTTGCTGCTGACCCCCGAGGAAGCGAAAGGAACCTGGAGGGGTCCCGATGAATCCAGAGGAGTCCACAGGAATCCTGAAGAGATTTGAGGACCCCTGAGAAAGAATGAGAATCCTGACGACTCCTGCAGACTCCTGAGCCCGAGGCCCTGAGTCCTAAGACCTGGGCCCTGGGCCCTGAACCTGGCCCCTGAGCCTGGTCCCACGGCCCTGAGCCCTGTGTCCTCAGCCTTCAGCCCTGAGGCCTGTGTCCTCAGGCCCTCAGGCCGGTGTCCTGGGCCCTGAGGCCTGTGTCATCAGGCTTGGGCCACGAGCCCTGAGCCTTGAGTCTTGGGCTTTGAGCCTTCAGTCCTGGGCCCTGAGCCCCGAGCCCCTGGGCCTTGAACCCAAAGCCCTGACCCCTGGGCCCTGAGCCCTGAGCCCTGGGCCCCGACCCCTGGGAATCCAGAGGAATCCCAAGGGACGCAGAGCAACCACAAGGACCCCGAAGGAATTCCCAGCAGGACGCCCCCCGCAGGGGCCGCAGGCCCCGCAGGAGGCCGTATTTCATTTGTGTATAGCTTATATGTTCAATATATATATATATACACGAAAAACAGCGTCAAGCGTCTTGAATCCCCTACCCGGCTAATATAATGTTGCCTCTTGGGGCCCTCTTGAGAGTCAACCTGGAGCCCTCTGGGGGCGTCTCGGGGCCGCTTGGGCCGTCCTGAGGCCATCGGGGGCAGTCTTGGAGCATTCACTCTTGGGCCATGTCGGTGCTCTCTTGGACCGTTTTCGGGCCATATTAGGCCCTACTGGCTCCTTCAGCCAGGGGGGTGGGTGCGCGAAGGTGCGCGAGGGACTGCCGACAGAGTAGGGCTCCATGGGAGGGACTTCAGGGAGCGTTTGAACAGGCATTGGCGAATCCTGCCAAACACTTTGACAGGGTGGCCTCGCACTCTGAAGGGCTGCGTTCTATGCCGTCGGCCCCCCCCACGCTGAGACATATTGGGGCTCAGTTGGCACAGCTGGGCTTGGTTGCGCCATCGTGGGGGCATTTCGGGTGCGTCGCGGGACCTCTGGACCCAACATTGGGGGGCCTCCTGGAGGCATTTTGGAACCAGATTAAGGCCTTGTTCGGCCATCACCGACGATCCCAGTGGCATATTGGGTCCTTCGAGTGCCATTTTGGGGCCGTGCTGGTCAAGATCGTACGTAGGCTCTGGAGGCGTCTTGAAGCGGTCTTGGGGCGTCCCAGGTGCGAAGGCTGGGACAGGCAAAGCGTGTCGAAAGCACCTTGCTTTATCCAGGGGCGTCTTGGGGCCAACCTGGGCCATCTTACAAGCATCGTGGGGCCGCCTTGGGCTTTTGAGTTATGGTGTTCCAACCTACTTCAGCCATGATCACCAGAAAGATTTTCGAGAACCAAGAAAGTACCGAAACTGGAGGGTTTTCACGTGTCGGGCCTTGGGATGCGATATTCGTTCGACACTGTTTCGATACTTCTCTGGGTGCTCGAAATTGTTTCTGGAATGTGGTCCTTAAGTACGATGGGGACAGCATAACTCTTGAGGCCCTCTTCGGGGACCCGTGGGGCCGTCTTCGAGGCCCCTTGGTGGTCTCTCGCGGCTGTTTAGCGGCGTCCCTGTGGGGGTCCATGGGGCAGCCTGGAGCGGCCCCGGGTTGAGGGACGGTCATTGGTTGTGAGGTCGCTGCCACCCCCACCCCCCTTGGGGTAGAAAGTATATTTCGGCTGCGAGCGGGGGGGGGAAGTGAGGAGGAGAAGGCTTTCTCAGAAGGCGGCGGGATTTCTCCAAAGCCCTCGCGCCTTCTGAGAAGTGTTCTGCGTTTTCTGGGAAGGTTTAGGAAGCTTTTCAGAAGTACGGGGGACTTCCGAACCTTCTGAAAAGGTCCGCACCTTCTCACTTCCCCCCCTGGCTAGCCGCCTAATATTGGGGACGGGATTTGAGAGGCAAGATTCCAAAAATGAAGCACAGCATTGACAAGAAGACGGCAATCGAACAGCGCGTGTTAAACAGCCTTGCACCCCTGGGGGCTCTGGTGAACATGAAGACGGAACGTGCCGGTTGAGGCAACAACACCCACAGGAAGTATTATTGCTGTTGTTTCCATGCGCATGCATGCTGAAACGATTGCAATTCGCGAGTTTGATTTGACAGCGCAAGTTGACGACGCTTTTCACACAGTTGTTTATATGCTAAAATCCAGGCCCGCATATTACATTGAGATGTTGCTTCAGAGGGGCACAAAGTCTTTACACAGAAAGTTCAGGTGGGTGATAGGGCTCTTGCAGAACATCGCCGTGGCGCTCGAGCAAGGTTGCTCAACGATAGCGCGTTGCAAGGTTGACTGAACAGTTGGGTTGCCAGGGCGCCCAGCAAAGAGAGAAATTGTTTCGAGGTTCTCGGCCTTAGCAGCGCCGATGTTCTTCGCGCGCCGTGCTCATTTCGATGCCCCTCCTTGTGCGTTTGTGTGCGCGCAGCTGTTTCTGCGCTTTTGCGTGCCCGGCATGTGCGGGTCATTCTGGTCAGATTGGTTACTGTGCGTGCGGCCTGGGCATGTGTTGGGCCCGGTGCAACCGAGGTTGGCGCCTCCATCTTCGGCCATGCGCCGCAGCACGCGCTCGCACGGCATTGATCATGCGGTAGTGTTGAGAAAATGACGGAGCGCTTAGCCGCAAATGCCCGCACAGGTTGGCGCACATGCATGCGGATGGAAGTGAGCATTGTAGAAACACGCCAGCACCAGAGAAGTGAGTCTGGCATAAGCATTGTAAGTTGTAGAAGCTGGTATTCGCCATAGCGCGATCAATGCGCCAGGATGCTCCCGGTGCCGCGAGGAACCCCATGAAGTAAGTTTGGCACAGCAGTGTCAACGAAAGCTTTCTCTGTTCCGAGAACACACACACACATCATGCCAGGTAGCCCGCATGCTAGGGCATGAGCCGACGAAAGGTGTCCGCAGGCAGGTGAAGTATATTACCTGACGCAGCGGCATGGATGGAGCCAATACGGCCGCTCGGCGAGGGCGTCCCAGAGTAGTTTTGGAGTAGGCCGATCGGGTTTTGAACAAGTTCGTGTGTGGAATGCAGGTCTGTTGAGCGGGCAACATAGGGAGGAGGTGGAGGAGCCGCAAGATGATCCAGACAGCTTCTTCACAGGCCGCTGCGCTCCATAGAAGTACCCGAAACCATCGGACGGCGCTGGCTACGGTTGCGCAGCATTCCTCACGCAAGAGGCCGCGCGACAGCGCGTGGCCTCGTTGTTGGGCTTGTGGATCCGCCGCGGGCCATCCGCGTCGGCCTCGTGAGGTACGGAAGGTTGTCGGGATCCCGCGCCAGCTTGGCACGTTCTTCGACCGACGGGCCCATTAGCGCGAGCATCTTTAAGGTCAGGAACGTGTGCTCAGCGTGCCGTTCCGCCGTGTCTGTCCCACCACGCTTCAGCGCGATATCATATCCACGTTTCGGTCCCCAAAGCGTCATTGTCTCGAGTTTGTTCCTGCCTCCCGCGCCGCGAAGCGGAGCGACAGGCTATCCGCTTCCAAGGCATAGTGTGACTCTGGGGCCCACGCCGCATGACGCTAAGCAAAGGTCCCCAAAGCTAGGCCAACGCTTTCTGGATGACGCTTGTCTTTCTTCGGAAGGGAGTTGGAGGAAGAGGAGGAGAGAGAACTGGCCACGGGCTCGAGCGAGCGCTCAGGGGCAGAAGCGGCAGGACCAGCGCCACTGAAGCCGACGCCTTCATGGACGGAGGAGTCGTGCCGCTCGCTGTCGTCATCGTCGCCGTCACCGCTGCCTCCAGCCGACTTGGCCCAGGCGCCCCCAGCGCACGCCGCACGGGAGGAGGGCGCATGCTGCACCGCTCTGCGCTGGCGCTCGCGCTCTGCAGCGGCCCGCCGCCGGCTGCCCTGCGAGAGGCGTCCGCTGCCCGCTGGCGGTGCGGCGTGGGCGCCAGCGAGGCCAGGGCGGTGAAGCGTGCTTTCGTGACGGTTCCCACTCCTCCGCTTTCCTCGCTCCAGCTCCTCCTCCTCCTCCTCCTCCTCCTCCTCCTCCTCCTCCTCCTCCTCATCATCATCATCATCATCATCATCATCATCATCATCATCATCATCATCATCATCATCATCATCATCATCATCATCATCATCATCATCATCACCATCATCATCATCATCATCATCATCATCATCATCATCATCATCATCATCATCATCATCATCATCATCATCATCATCATCATCATCATCACCATCACCATCACCATCACCATCACCATCATCAGCAGCAGCAGCTGCATCAGCATCAGCATCAGCATCAGCAGCATCATTACCATCATAAGCATCATCATCATCATCAGCAGCATCATCATCATCAGCATCACCTTCACCATCATCATCATCTTCACCATCATCGTCATCACCATCAACATCATCAGCAGCATCAGCATCATCCTCATTATCATCCTCATCAGCATCAGCATCTGCATCACCATCAGCAGCATCATCATCCCCATACCTTCTCCTCATCCCTCCTCCTTCCGTAGCCATTTTGGTTCAAGGTGTTTCCACCCTCCTTGGTTCAGCTTGTGGTGTCTGCTGCCTGACGCTCCGCGCTGGGCCACACACCTTCTAACTGATCCTGTCGGAGGTGGAGCTTGGCTACGGGATGCGCGCCGGCGATTGGCGCCTTTGGCTTTACTGTATGTTTCCGAGCGGAAGGCCCGTCGCAATTGGGCTCGCTGGTCTGCGGACAGGACCATCCAGCGCTTGCAGGAGGAGCTGAAGGAGGCCCGCTACTGCTGCCGCGGTCTCCTCTCCACCATGGACGACCTCCTGGGAACAGGCCCAGAGGTCGTCGAGAGGATCCCTTCGGCTGTTCCTGCGCTCGTCGCCAATCTTGGTGGCCAGGCGGTCAGGAACGACGACGTCCTGCACCGCAGGGTCGCCCTGCAAGCCGCCGCAGCGGGCCTGAACATCCTCACGGCCACCAAGCCACATCTTTGACGTGCTCAACGCTGTGTTCGCCTCGTCCGAGTTCGCGCGGGAGCAGGCCGCACGAGCTCCTCCTCTTTCTCCTCCTCCTCCTCCTCCTCCTCCTCCTCCTCCTCCTCCTCCTCCTCCTCCTCCTTCTCATCCTCCTCTTCTCTTACGCTCGTCTCCTCCTCCTCCTCCTCCTCCTCCTCATCATCATCATCATCATCATCATCATCATCATCCTCTCTTACGCTCGTCTCCTCCTCCTCCTCCTCCTCCTCCTCCTCCTCCTCCTCCTCCTCCTCCTCCTCCTCCTCCTCCTCCTCCTCCTCTTGTTGGATGTCCGTCCGCGCTTGTGCAGTCGCAGTGAAGGGCCGACGCGGTCAAGCTCGTGCCCTCCGCCGTCCTGGCCCCAGGCATACGGGAGCCCATCGACGGGCCATTGGCGTGGACGGCAACCGATCAAGCCGCCAGCACGGTGGAGAAGGACTACGACATGCACACCGAGCACCGTGACGAGTTGCAGCATTGTTGCCACTCTCCTGCCTTTGCGGAGGGCCCCCCCGCGCCCCACGATGGGACGGATCGAGCAGGTCGCGAGGCTCCTCTCGCGCGTTCTGGCGCGTACGTTCTCGAGCTCGGCCGCGAAACGTCGCAGGCCTAGAGGTTGACACCAACATCAATATCGGCGGTGTGCCCCCACCGAGGGAAGAAGATCCCGATCTCGGCGATGGTGGTAATACTCTGGTTTCCAAGGTGACCGAAATATCACCACCAACACCGAAATCTAGGATCACCTCCCCCCATGTGGAGGCAGCCCCCTGTGTTGGTGTTGGTGCACCTTTCAAGACCTCCAAAAAAGTGCGCCACGGGCCGCGCGGCTTTGGAGGAGGCCTGCGCCGCTGCCCCAGGGGCGGCCGAGCTGCCCGCCAGCGGGATGCCCGCCCCCCCCCTGGTGGAGGGCCTCGCGGGGCTCGGAGGGGCGCTGGGCACCCCCCCCCCCCGCCTGGAGGAGGAGGAGGAGGAGAAGGAGGAGGAGGAGGAGGAGGAGCAGGAGCAGGAGGGGGAGGAGGAGGAGGAGGAGGAGGAGGAGGAGGAGGAGGAGGAGGAGGAGGAGGAGGAGGAGGGGAGGAGGGGGAGGAGGTTGAGGATGAGGAGGAGGAGAGGAGGAGGAGGAGGAGGAGGACGACGACGACGACGACGACGGGGGGGGAGGAGGAGTGGAGGGAGGAGGAGGGGAGAGAGGAGGAGGAGGAGGAGGAGGAGGAGGAGGAGGAGGAGGGGGAGGAGGAGGAGTAGGAGGAGGAGGAGGGGGAGCAGCAGGAGGAGGAGGAGGAGGAGGAGGAGGAGGAGGAGGAGGAGGGGGAGGTGGAGGAGTAGGAGGGGGAAGAGGAGAAGGGCTCGACGGGAATGTTCCCGGCGAGCCCTTCGGCCACGGAGGAGCGGAGCTCTTTCGCGACGACGTCGTGCCGTCCCAGGTCGAGCAGGGTCCATGCAAATCAGCCTCTGGATTTCACGGATGATTCCGCCGAGGAGTTTTCTGCTGTGGGGTCGTTCACACCTCCGCCGATTTGGAGGCGTCAGTCTGTGCAGCTTCTTCGACGGGGGGGTCACCAGCATACTTACTCCAAGATTGACACGAGACTTGTCTTGTTGGTCAGGGTCATCACTCCCCAGGCGTCATCTTCGGCATCGGGGAGAATTGACTTCAGGAGAGCGACTCTGCTTCATCCTCCGCTTGCTGTTACACATGTTCCTTCCTCCTTGTCCTCCGGCTTCTCCTCCTCCTCCTCCTCCACTTCTTCCTTCTCCTCCTCATCCTCCTCCTCATCCTCTCCTCCTCCTCCTCCCCCTCATCCTCTCCCTGCCCTTGAACACTCTCCTCATTTGGAAGGCCAACTGGAGGCATCCAGAACCTTCCAGAGTGGCAAGCCAAAGAAATGGGAAAGTAGAGCGTAATCTTCGTCGGCCTCTGCCGCTTAGGGATTTTCGGGAAGGCTCCTAGGGAGCCTCGGAGGGGCCTCTTGGAAAGTCTTGGTGTAGAATTGGGTGGTGGTTTAGGCGTTGTGAGCCCCAGGCTTGATAAGGTGTTTGTCATTCCCTGGCAGCTTCAAGCCGAACCCCCAAACCATAACCCTATGGCCTCGAACACTGTGCGCTGAAGTGTCTAGTTTCATGTGTACATTTACATAGCTATACATAGATGTGGGTATATAGATAGACATACATTCATAAACATACATCTACAGCTATATATAAATAAATATACACACACGCAAACGTGTATACCTATGTAAGTGCGTGTGTGCACCTACCGAAAACGCATACGGCGAACCACCGCCGCCCCATGCAGTTTAGAAACGACTCTGGTAGTGGCAGTCAACCCATCCCGCCACCGTGCAGGGGTTGTTGGTCGGAGGTCGCTTGGATGCATATCAGGGTATATCGGGATGCCTCTCGGGAGGCTTGTGCCGGGCTATTGGGGGCCTGTTGGGTGTCTCTTAGGAGGCCTCTTGGAGGCCTTCTGGGTGCTTCTTAGGGCTTCTTGGGGGCGTATCGGAGGCCTCTGGGGTGGGCGTGGAGCCGTCTTGGGGTGGAGGGTTTTCCGACGCCCCTTTCGCTTTCCCCCTCTTGGACCCCTCTTGGGGCCGCCTCGGGGACCTCCTGGGTCGTCTTGGGGGCCTTTGGGGGCGTCGGAGGGTCTTCTTCGGCCGTTTTGGGGCGAGTTTCGGAAGTCTGGGGTTGTCTTGGCGCGACCTTGGGGGCCTCTCAGGCCGTCTTGGGGCGTCGATAGCCCGAAAAGGCGAGAGCGCTAGAAGCTTACAACACCTTGTTGGAAAATTAAGTTTCTCTGCCTCGTTGGACCATCTTGGCGGTGCTCTTGGAGCTCTTTGGAGACGTCTTGGTGAGCCTCTTGGGCCGTTTTGTCTCGGTCTTAGGCGTCTTCGAGCGCTCGTGCGCCGTCTCGGGGCCCTCTTGGACCGTCTTGGGGGGCCTCCTGGGACCCTCTTGGCCTGTCTGGATGCCCTTCTGGCGTCAGGAAGGGCCACGCGGGACGCCCCATAAGTCGCGCGGGGAGCCCCGAACGGCATGCGAGAAGCCCCGGGAAATCTGGGACTTTGGCGTCCGGGTTTTTGCAGGGGTATTGAATATTCAGCATTGGCTGTTCGACAGGACCTGAGGACGGTTCTACAGTTCTAGAGGACCTGGGGACGGTATCCGGTACGGCCGCGACTTTCTTGCTCCTGAAAGGCCACGGCCGACCAGTTCAATTTCATTTTGATGTGATCATGAGGGGGATGGCAGCTCGGACGCCTACCTCGTTCCATGCAGCGACGCTCCACCCAATGCCTTTTCGGCACGATGTGTGTATATATACAGACTTACACTGTATACATATATATATACACACACATACATACACAAGACTGCAGTGGCGCTTCGCGCCATGCACCTTGGTCTTTGAAGTTTGGCACGCAGGCGGAATAGCAGGAAGGTCAAGCCGACAATTTAGCGACAACTCCTTGTTGCCTTTTCTGGCATCGCCGCTATAATAATGTTATTCGTCATCCATCATCCATGTTTCTTCTTCATGTTCGCCATACCCTGCGCATTCTCCCCATCCTCCTCAGCTCTTTTTTGCGGGGGGCCCTCCTTGGAGAGCCTCTGGGGGCCTCACAAAAGTTGATTCAGGCTTTCTTAAGGCCTTCTGGAGGCCGCCTGGGCGCATTTTGGGGGCATCTGGGGGCTTCCCCGGGCCACCCTGCCTCCAACCGCGGACTCCCTGAACGACTGGGTCTTCGGAGGGCGTCTTGGGGCCATCTTGGGCCGCCATGGGGCTCTTTGAGGGCCATCTTGGACCCGTGTTATGCCGTTCTGGGGCTCGCTTGGACTGCCTGGAAGCCTTTCGGATGGTTGCGGGGTGATTTTGGAGCCTCCAGGCGGCTTCGGACGCCCAGAAGACCGCCGTTTTGGAGCGTCGGGAA